CGACTTTAGACGACGCATCAAATTTACGTGGCAAAAACTTTCGATTTCGTTCGTGCGGAAGGCCATTGAAGAATTCTGTGATTGAGTACAATGTGCTGTTGATTTTGCGGGTGGTAATATTCTGTCAGAATTTAATACAGTTTAATTACATTGCTGGTACAAGCCAAGCGCTGAGTGTCTCTTTTTTTAGGCACCCCTGTAGATTAACAGAGTTTGATGTTCGTTGAGAGTTTCAGATATTGCTTGCATAGCACAGCCATTCGATACATTGGTGTATAGCGAGGTGACGTCAGAGGACCCCATCACGCTTTCTCTTCCTAACCTAGCATAACGAAGTTCATTAACAGCGCGTTGGTGTTGGGAAGGTGAGCAAGGAGATAGTAGCAAGGAGAAACTGTACCAGTTTTAAATTTAGGAAACATGCAATTCTATCCCTTGGGCCACCGACGTTGCATACATTAGGTCTGTCCTTGGAATAAGACGGGTCATACACGGCTGCGCCTTCCGCGGGAATTTTATGTGTCTTTACGAGCACGTACAGGACCGGACAGATTGGGAGTTCACCTTTCAGCCGCATTATGATGTTTTTGGGAATGTTATCAACTCGTGTCAATTCTGTACACTTCCTATACAAGCGGCGTTGGTAAACGGTCCTGTCCTGTAAGTGTGAGTGATTGCTTTTCCATATCTTGCGACAAAACCGCAAATTCTCTGCCTTTGTCGCTCGCACTGATTTTTATAGCCCCAGCATCTGAATGTTGTTTTAGCTCCCTTAAACCATTTCTTTGAGCCGGGTCTAAATTCCTTATCGTTGGTTTTGCGATAGTAGAACGCAGAGCAGCCAACAACGAGTCTGAAAAGATTTGAAACTTGGAATCTACTTCATGATCAGGCTCTTATGACCCGAGATACGTAGAGGAGAAGGGTGGAGGCGGTATGCCTGGGCTGCTCACATTATTGCAACCCCCGAGTTGTCTGCTGACTTTTGCCCCATACCGCAAGCGCAGACCATGCAATGATTGCAGACTACCCACAATTTTGTGTGATATGTAAGCTTAGAGAACGGCTAGGGGAAAAGCTGGGTCCCAAATCCAAGCAGATAGCGCATCGTTGGATAAACAGATAATGCCAAGCACCGTGACCCTTGGGCTGCCCCATTATCTCCACATCCATCTGCTGTAGGGCTATTATCGGCAGTTTCACACGCAACTTGTGGGCGCGATCGGCGACTTCGCTGTTCATCCACTAACTCATCGAAGTTTCCTTATTTCACTTTAGTCCTAGAACGAATGGAACCACAAATGACTTTTGACTCACCCACTATTCTCCTGCAGACTCGGCTCATCAGCAATCTTTCACAACACAACTCGTTGGAAACACACTTTATCAAAAAAGAATACATATGATCCTTTTTGCTCCCCGTGGTTGTGCGTAGGATTTGAGACTCAAGTGCATGCAGACGATGGCTTTCCTTTAGCTTGCCACATGTTTCGAACAGGTTCTTCCGTCTTATGAAGTTCGGAACTATTCTGTTTCGCAAGCAAAGGTGGAGAAAGTGAATGGCCTGTCTAGCTGGCACAATTTTCTGCCGCATAGACAGGACTTCCATTACAAGCCGACTACATCCAGCAGGTACTTCTCGAAGTAGTGTTTAAGTGCGACTGTATATAAATCTCAGCATGCGTCTTCACAGTTTGAGGTTGCCTTTTGAGCTGTAGGACCGAGGTTGCAACAGAACTTTTATTAGGCTTTATTAGGCTGCGCTTTCACTTTCCTCAGAGCCTGGAAAGACGAAAGGCATTTGAAAAACCATCCGATCAAGCATTATTTCAATCTACAAAGAACGTTCAAAGGGCGTGGACTACTAGGAAGTCGAAAGATGTTAACTAACCTTTAGAGATAGTCAACCTTTGTGGTTGTCGGTTGTCTCAATCGAGAATGCAACAATTTTGTAACCAGAAGCTGAAAACGGAGGTTTGGAACTAGCATTGGAGTATAAGCCTTAGGGACAGAGGATAAGGTCGAGGATAGGGGGCCCACATGTAGGCTCTGGAACATGCTGCGTCAAAACAAGCTCCGAAAAAAGCGGGGTAAAGCATTCGTACCGAAGATTCCGCGCTCCGGGTGAATGGGACTCGGACAAAAACCAATCAATATTCAGGTTCACATCCCCTAAGACAACAACATTTCTCGTAGAAGAACAGAGATCAAATAGCATGCCACATAAGAGCTCATCATCAAGAATACTCTGATTTCACAGTAACAAAACGAATGAGCCCCAGGGAGTAATCAAGGTATCAAATTAAAGAACGTCTTCAACAAAACAAGGAAAAACAAAACAAACAAGTCGGGAATTAATGTGCTTTCGTAAAATAACACAGAACTCGCGAATGTTTTTGTCTGGTAAGCCAGCCATCACTTCATTATCTGAATATTTGGCGCTAAGCCAACTTTCAGCGGCAAAACTATGTGTGGTCAGATAATTCAGCAAGTATCATTTTTTCTCGATTTTTGAATCCTATAGATGATGCAAGCTTCGAAATGCCAGAGATGTCCGATTTTTTGACCACTTGTTGTTTAAATACGACATAATCACTTTCACCTTTAGGCTTTGTCCGGTTAAAGTCTTCTGCCCTCAACAGCAGTTATTCACCAATTTCACGCTTAACCGGTATCATAGAACGACGAATAAACACATTTTTAAAGTCTGCATAATTTCTAAGTGCCTTTAGAGTTTGAAAGAAGAATTTACGAGAAGAAAACAGGCATTCGATAAGGCGGCATTTACCAACTTCACGTATACACATCCTTTGAATCTCGGTGGGGCGCCCTTCCACATCCAAATAATCCAAGATATCGCTCACCGCTTGTTTTGTTGGTTTCTGTTGAGCTGATGGAGGTTGATCCGCATCAACTTCCGGCGCACCAAAGATAACAACAGAGTGCGCCCTCATATCAGCTTCGACGATTCGCGACGCCTGCTCGGGCGTCATTATTGCAATCAGCTTCTCCAATAACGGTATCGCTTCCGACACTCTGCAGCTCAAAGAATACCAGAATAGTGCACTCCTGCGACGGAGAGTTGGGATGTGGGCCAAGATAGGCGACGACGGCTTTCGTTTTTCAGCGTTGACAGGGGTCAGAGTATGCACAGTGGAACAGAGCAATCAATTACCGAGCGCTCAGCGCGTCAGCACAGTGCCAAATGATATATGATGTGAAATATGTGATCGTTTTCAGGGTGACCGTGTACATCTACATGATTTGGCTTATTCATATTTCGAAACACACAGTTATTGCTTTGAACGTGCTGTACCGAAAACGAGCACCTTTTCGGCCACTTCATTCCATCATCGCATTTTTGCTATGTTTCATTCTTATCAATTACTCTTATCACATGCTCAGCAAAGCTTCTTTTTCAGGGCAATTACTACAATCTTCGAACTGGCAAGCGATCTCGCATTTGCAGTGCGCGCTTTCATCAGATCCCGGTACTGCGTCTATATGAGTGCTGATGTGTCATGAATTATTTGTCATGAATTATTAGAGGATGGAGAGCAGGAGCGACTCTCAACCATTAATTTAATGCAGCATTGTTATCATGTTTGCTATCATGCTTTCCTGGTATCTAATCACTAAGTTATTTGGAGTAGTTCAGTTCAGTATTGTTCTAACTTGCGCCCGCCTAAACTTGCACCCTGAGAGGTCGCTTTCATGCTCCACCATTTATTATAATTTTGCATCGCGATTATCTACATTTAAAAAACTGCGAAAATCTTGCCTCTGTTGTGTGTCTATACGCGAGATGGAAGCACTAGATGATGATTGCTCTGGGTGTATTTTCGAGCGCAAGCTCTTCATAACAAGCCACTCCTTTTTATTCATCTATTAATGTTTATCTTTATACTGTATACCTATCGTTCTCTGTTCTCGCTGTGCAACGTTTCATTGCAGTAAACATTTATCGACACTAATGGGAGCATAAGATATCACTTATAAAGAATCCACTCAATCTGAGCCGCACCTGCTTTGCCCTTGTTTGAAATGTCCACGTCATTTAGTTTCTAAAATAAAATGAGGCTTGAATTTCACTACAAAAAGTTTTGGATCGCTAACAACAATAACTTCTGAACGCAGAAATCAACAAACGTACAAAAACTCGGTCCTACGCTAACATGGCCTCCGAAACGTGAACTTTGACCAGTGAAAACTGGAACAAATAAATATATGTTGCCCAACTTTGCTCTATAAAAAAAAGACTTCCAAATATTCTTACCCATGCTGAAGGTATGGAATACACGGCAGCCAAAACGCCCACGAGCAAGTTTGAATCAGACAATGACACCAAATAGATATACCGAGAAGAACGATACTTCTGCGCACCCCTTCAGTTTATATTAATAGAGGTTAGAACGAATAATCAAGTGAGTCAACAGTCACAGTTAACGAACAGTCAAGTATAATACAAATAAAATGAAAAAAGGAACACGAAAAAACATTCAGACCGGTCAGAAAAGAAATGGATCTAATGAAAAATATGAGCCATATTTGTTTTTTGGCTCTTCCTGATGTTTCTGAGTTTTTTCTTTTCATTTTCTTCCTCTCCCGTGGATGAAATGTTCTCGTAATCTACTCTAACTAACCTGTTGTGGACTTAATCGTAACGGCTGTCTGCATTTTTGTTCCACTTTAGCACCCCTCATTCCCAATACGTCAGCTTTGATTGACACCGCAGCCCTTCTTCTTAGCCCTGGGAGAGATTGGCGGACCTACTAAGCGATGTCCAGAGCTGCCTCTCCTCCTAGCCGCTTGCAGTGTGTGGCTGAGGCACAGCCCTTCCTTCCCATCGCCCTCCCCCTCCCCTCTTTCCCCTTTTCCACCCTTTACGCTTTATTTGGTTATAATTCACTGATTTCTCCATAATAGCTATTTTCTTACCCATATTAAATTATGACACAGCCTCACTGACTCCACCAAGGACTACCGAATGCTGTTGGAGTGAGACTACCACTGCACAAGTGGAGTTTAGGAGAACGAGCTTCTAACTATTCAATTTTTGAAAGATCTCTTCAGCTTCATGATTCCTTACCTTACCATTATACGCCCGACGTAGATGGCGAACACCCAGACAGCTAGAGGAGCAAAACTCAGTGGAACGCACAGCAATCGAAATGGTCTTTATTGACACAGCGGACTATTCCTAGAGAGCAGGATAATTATTAGGTAGGTATGGACAAGAAGAAGACGAACTTTTGATTCCATCTGGTAGCTCCTCACACCTTTAAACTTCATATGCCTTTATTTCACTACAATGGATTCTCAAAGAAAGTTTATGTCAAAGAGAAGGCATCGACAAGAGCAGCTCCACCTTCGGAAGGAACCTATCAACCTTGCTTGGTGCATTTAATGTCCCCTCTCATAACTCTTATAAATCATCTTGAATAAATAGTCAGTAGAACTATGTATAGTTGAAAAGACTGAACAATATCATAATGGGAACTCTTCATCCCATACAAGACTCTATTTGTCGCTTCACGGAATCCTCCTGCTCACTTCTTTTCAACTGCGACTCTATTTTCAAACCCAGCAACCCTAAATTATATGGCTACTCGGAGCGTTTGTAGGCTGATTAGCCGTTACCATACCGTTCCAGACGATTTATTTTGAGGTATACTTGCTCAGTACGTGGACTACTAATGTAACATTTTCATCTTTTTCCGAAGGTTTCATGAATTGAACCGACCTAGGTTAATCAGAAGTCTGTGCCTATGTTGACTACACGCTACGACCTCCATCTGCCTGTTTTGAGACAAAGACAGAGAATGAAAACTACTGGACCTCTCCCTTCTCCAGTTATTGCAAACGACTGAACAGGAATTAGTAGTGTTGAGAAAATGTAAAGGTAATATTCTGAAAAAACTTTTATCATTTGAAAGCCTTCCCAGACATCTAGAAAAAGATTCATAATACACACAATATGTACAGAGTGAGCAAGAAAAAAAGTCCTTTATATGGCATTTTTTAGTCTTCGAGGGTTGGCAATGGTCGTTCGAGGGCCGGCAGTGGACGGGGGATGTCATCGGAGGGCGGAGCAGGCGATACCTCCTCCAATACTTTATCGTCACTCTGAGCTGGCGTCGACAATTCACGATCCTCCACGGGTCTCTGGAAGGCAATACGGGCAAGTAATGGGCAATTCAAAATACCGCTCAATTAGGTTCACCTTTTGCTTGCCAAGTCGTAGTCCTGACAAATCGGTTGCTGGTGGTCCGCGAGAAGAAAAATCGAGCCGTGGGACAATTTGGAACCCAAATTTACCTGTATCCTTCAACATGACATCCACTCGAATGACAAGTTTTCCTTGAGTGGTGACGCGGGTTGCTGAAATATTGATGCTATAGGAAAGTATTTTGAATAGAGACGAAACTGACCATGACGAGCTTCCGGCCTTGCAACGTGCGAGGGATCAACGAATTCTGGTCTCCGACCGCTGAGCATACCAATGATTTTCTGATATTTGGACGAAGCTTCCGGAACGAAGCAGGGCACTGTTCGAATGTGGCTAAAACAGCATGGCAATGGTTATGATAATGAGGCAGCTTCAGGCAAAGGGGTCTCCTTCATTGCCTTATTATTCTGACAGGGAAAATTATCCGTTTGACTAAGCACAATTTCTCCTACCCAGGCACATTAACTACTACGTAATTGATCAGTAAGCAAACCAGGCCAGAAAAGTGAGGGAGAATGGGGCCTGCTAAGTATCGCTACCCATGAAATGTATGAGTCGGCACATGCCTTCGCCGCTGAGCTTACCGCGGCCTCAACTAGTAGTGTAAGTCTCCTCATGACTGAATTATGTATAAAAGCTGGCACGTCGAGGTAACCACAGTCCCAAGCGCGCGTAACCATCCGATTGCGATACGCCGTCGGCGATGGTAAGTGCCGACAAGTACTGTTGGGAGTCATTTTTACTCTTCACGATTCGTAATAGGCAGTGTACGTCACTGCGATGTGACTGGCGATTTCACACAGCATTACAGTGGTGCCTGGGTAGGTTCTGTACAGTACTGCCGTAACAGCTATCGGGATAAGACTGATGTAAAACCAAAAGCAGAACTACTGAAATCGCTTGGGTTACACGGGGTACTTAGAGGTGGTGATAGGTTTGGAGACAGCCCGTAGGGTAGGTGCTTTCATAGCAGACTGGCCGATGTACATGTGCCTATGTGCCTACTCATAAATACATACACAATCAGCTCAAATACAGGGCTCGTGATAGGTATGTTTAGTGATTCCCTACTCTACGAATTTTAAGCACTAAGCAACAGACGCCCAACGTCTTAATATTGCCTCGTCGAATGCGGGCGCAGTCAAAGCTTCAAAAAACAACAACCAAAAACAGCCTTAAACGCGAAAAGTCTACAAACAGAGGCGTGTCAAATTATCGTCTAAAAGGTGCGCCAAGAAGATGGAGTTCAGAGAGGGTGTACCGCAGTATGCTAGATGGATCACGTTCAGGGCAAATATAATCATCAGTTGTCAATTGGCTAGAGCCTGCAATTTTGCCCGAACCACCCTCTTTCCTCATGGAAAGCCCGTCAGCCCGTAGAACACTAGCAACGAACTGGTTTCAGTAGTAACAATATACATATATCAGGGGTTCTGCAGACATTTCCGTCTCCCACGCCATTGAACCATTCATTATTCTACATCAAAACTTACACATTTTGACACAATAAGGACACAAAACTGCGAACTGCTCGTTGGACAACTTGAAACAAAAACCGTCTCTCAAATATGCAAAGTTCTCATTCTCTAACCAATCTCTCACCATCCGCCTACCCTTTTCATTTGTATTTTCAAACGATGACTAGCACTGTGAGATTTCTTCGAAAGCAAGATACGTACCTTCCTGGGATTGTTGGTATTGGAAGGGCACCGTACCCACGAACAACATCGTGCCCAAACAAGTCGTTACCATAGCATGAAAAGACTAGTTGAGGCCCTGAATACATGATTATATCAAATGAACACCATACAGTTGGACAATGAATTGAAGTACTCACATTTGTACGGGTTTGTGCTGGAGAAAGTGGCAGTGATGGGAAGGTCGGGAACGAAGCGATAGGATTCTCCACGATAGCATGTAGCTGACAGTCCCTCGGTGGAGCCGGACACATGCTTCCAATCAGGACCGTAGCTCATTGAATACTTTACACATAGCGATGGAATCTCAGGAAACTGAAAGTGTAACTTCCACTTTTGTTGTTCTCTGCTACTTTGAGCGCGGCTCGCGTTGTATTAAGACATATGATAGAAACGAAAGCACGCGACTTCATGAACGAATCTAACCATGGCTATCGTGGGGATCCCGACTCCTTCAGTTAGTATTATAGCGAAATCAAAACGTCAATATTCTGAAGCTTGGGGCATCGATAAAAGGCAAATGAAACATGCGAGAGCGCATTGTACGCTTAGAAGGTTAATTTAGTGTAAAAATTTTTTAAGACCCTTTTTCTACGACGAAGCTCTCGTCCCGGATTATGCCCACATAAAGCGATTTCTGGTCGAAAAATATCCTATATAAGATGGGATCAAGGTTCACAGAATCAGCTGCATTGTATGCCACACCCAGAAGCGTCCGTATTTCACCGGCTCAATAGGAATGCTGCACTATTCACAGTGGAACACATATGTTGAAAATTCAAACGGCTCCATCAAGGGCCCCGTCCTGTGGTGGCGAAAAATGGTTTTCGTCACAAGGGATATTGTAGCCCACCTCTACGCAATTGAGAATGTATGAATTCTCGTCTAGACGCCCTTAGTCGTCGTGATCCCGAACATCCCCAAATTCTAATTTCAATAAGCTTTATAATTCACGAGTTCAACAGATCTTCTATATTCCTTTTCTGCATATTAGCTACTTTAAGACACAGTTCACGAAAAAAATGGTCCCTGAGGTTTTCCCATAGGTCGAATTCGAGGGCACTCCTGACACCATATGCGTCGATGCCAGGCCGAGAAACATCCTGGATAGGACACAATAAGGAGCCAGACATTGTATCGTGTAACGCCACACCCACAGTCTCAACGGCGTTGTAGAGGTTGCACCATCCACCAGAGGACTCCCATGTTCGAGGTTTAAACAACCTGTCATGGCCCATGGCGGCAGTGGACGGCAGTTTTAGACAATTTTGACTTGATGTAAGCAGCTCTTTGTGCAATTATAACAACTGAAAACTCGTCCGAACAACCTTTCATGTCATTTACATCATGACTCGTTAAGCATCTCTTTCCAATACTTTTGAAAACCTTATTTTTTCGCGAAGTACGCGATTTTCTCGCTTTCTTCGCCACCGATGCACTACTCTACATCAACACTTCCTGTTTTCAAATTGAAGTGGTTAACTCAAAACTACCGTGAACTGTGCCTTTAACTGGAAAAATGTACCCATAGACTATCGTGAACGGTGACTTTGACCTTGAGCACTCCTCCTTTTCCCATTACTCATTCCTCCGACAGATATTAATCGTTGCCCTTCGTTCAGAATCAGTTAAAATGCTATAATATAGGCGGAGGTGGTGTAGTGGCAAGTGGCGCACTATGTCACACGCATGGTCAGAGGTTCGAATCCCGGACCGATGCCTGCCTAGGCATCCCATCACCAAGCTCTCCATCCCTCCAGGGTAGGTTAATTGGTACCAGACTCGTCTGGTAGGATAAAAGCACTGGCTTGTACATCGGCTGGCCACCGCAAGTAATTGTATAGGCCACATACGCACTCATTACGCCATTACGATTCTGAATGGAAGTCGAGTGCGGGGGCGCATCCCTCAGACGGGATTGATTAACGCCAAAAACTTTATCCTTTATCCTTTTAATATAAGCGGTGCGCAATATATAACAGGCACCAGCAGCAACCAGAATCAAGCATGCCGAGGAAAATCTCTCGACCATGCGATCCCTCATTTCACAACACCACTGAGTCTCAGTCGGCCCTTCCCTCATCTTCTGATGTGTTTACTGAAGGAGAAGACGTCGAGAGAACTGTCCTTTTGATACAGTGAATCAGCTCTTTGCTCCTTGAAGCAATAGAAAGTCTCCCTACTCCGCGGTCATAACTTCTTGCGATGATTATTCCTAGCAAAGCGGAATTTGGTAATTCCAAGTTCGAAAATTCCACTTATTATTAAGCAGAATTGTTTGCTTGCAACCCGGCTTCTCACAGAAACTCTTTCACCAGAGATATGCCGAGAGATAAAGAAGTTTGAACAGGAGATCGAACACATCTGAAGGTTGTAGCCTCTTCCAACGAGTCCCCATCGTTGGGCAACTGATGGACTTGGAAAGCTCAAGGTATGTGCTTATAAATAGGGCACAAACTATATTGCAGAATCATTATTTACCGAATTCTTTTCCTAAGGAATTTTCGAGGGGAGCATCATGGTACTTGAACTATGATATCTCTACCACCAGCCCGTAAGGACTATTCCAAAAAAAATGAGATATCGATTGAAAATGACTCGAACAAAACATCTTTCGGGTCTAATTGGTAGAGGAGGGATGTCACTTTGGTAGAACTGCTGTTTTGTGGAATGCGTCATCGTCGCCGGACAGTGAAGCACTTGAGGGGATTTTCACTCAAAAAGTGATGGATTTGAAGTTATAGTCGAATGTGTGGCTCATTCCCAAACAAGTCTTCTCGACTTCGAGAGCTCTGTTTTCTATTTCTGACAGAAATTGGAGAGGCGCTCTGAACGAATATCCTATAGCTTAGAAAATTCAATTTTTCAGAGTAGCCCGAGCTTCTTTCCATGGTAATAGTCGTAATGTTGGTTACCCCAACATTAGACTATTACCTGGAAGCGACCCCACCCCCCCTCCCCCCGTGCTTCCCCAACCAACAT